ATCTGAATAAAGTGCATCTAAATTATTCCATCTTTGACTCCACTCAGTTGGCTTGTGGGAACAGGCAGTAACCTCTTATGGTTCTAGCTCCACTTAAAAATTCTTGGGTTGTTATTTTTAAAAAAATCACCAAAAAGAAAAAAAAAAATGGGAGTAGGACCAATGTCACATATTGTACAAATTGTGTAAACTTCTATCAAAAAACTGTAATAAAGTATTTTAAGAGAGTTTGAAGAAAACAAAAACCTCTCAGAAGACATATTTTCTTACATTATATAGTAGTACATAAAGTAGCCATAATAAAAAAACATTTGTACTTCACAAAGATGCTTCAGTACGTTTTTTTTCAGGGGGTCACTTGGTGGCAAGATGGCTGGATCTGGAAGTGCTGCGAGCCCCTAGAATTCCGCTGCCTTGGTCTCTGCTCTCAGCTAAGAAGGGAGGGAGGAAGAGAAGCAGGAGTCCGCCCTCCCTCCTCGTGTCTTACTGTAGCCTGCCCGCCTGCCTCCTCTAAAGGCTTGTTTCCATCCTTCCACCTTTCATCTTCTCTTCCATGGGAAAGGTCTGCTAGTATTGAAAACACCTCTCCCACCGAGTCTGTTATCCTGGACGCACCAGGAAACAGGAAACTAAGCATAGTTAAGGCTTCTGTCTAATTAACATGGAATTCTCCTCTCCCTTTCCAAGAAATAGTACAGAAAGAGACTTGGGTTTGAATCTCTGCTACTTCCCGTGCTGACCTTGTGCTTACCCCTCTGGGCCTCTGTTTCACTCCCACCAAGACCTGGGGTAGTCCAACAGTACAATTCTCACCTTTCATGCTTAAGATTCAAGTTTGATTCTAGCCCTATGTACCTCAAGTGAACCCACCCACTGCTCATCTGTCAGTGGAGGCTTGCGTGTGGCTGTGATGCTGATGAACAGATTTCAGTGGAGCTTCCAGACTAAGACAAACTAGTAGGAAAGATCTGGTGATCGTTTCTTAAAAGCCAGCCATTGAAAGTCCTGTGGAGCACGACAGTGCATGGGGATCACTCACCACGAGTTGAGGGATAACTGAAGGGCAGCTAACAGCAACAGCAAAGCGCTCTCAGGGTAGGGACTGTATGTCTTTTCCACTGCTCTGCTCACACTCTGATGGCCTAGAGGTAAGAAGCTGAGCTACACCTCCCAAAGGCACACGGTTCAAGTCCACCAGCTGCTCCACAGGGCAATCTCCTCCCATGATGTACTGCCTCTGAAAACCCGCTGGAGGGTCACCCGTGGATTGATTCCAACTGATGGCACACAAACCAGCAACAGCTCACACCTGGCCCTGTGCAGCTCACATAGTAGGTCCCCATGAATGTTTATGGAGTTAAAAATGTACAATTTTCTAACCACACTCCCCTGGTCACTTTGCACATTTCTCAACAGACTACCAAGAGGATGAGCTGTTGTTAGACATTGTTAAGTTGATTTCTACTTGCAGCGATCCTATGTGACAGAGTGGAACTGCCCATAAAGCTTCTTAGGTTGTGATCTTTATGAAAACTGGAGGGTTTTCTCCCACAGAGCTCCTGGGTGAGTTTGATCTTTTAGTTAGAAGCCAAGTGTTTAACCCTTGGGCCATTTGGGCTTCTTAAGGATGTTGTTGTTGTTTATTGCCTTTGAGTTGAACATGACTCATAGTGAACCTATGAACAAAAGGCTTGAAGCCTCTCTACAACTCTCGACATTTATCAAAGTTCATAGAGTTTCCGGAGGCATGTTGTTTAGGAAGTGGATGCCACTCCTGCTTCCAAACCTGTCATAGTATGTTATTGTTATGTGCCATTGAGTTGCCTGTGATATATAGTGACCCTATGTACAGCAGCTCTGAACCCTTTCTTGTCCTTGAGCCAGTCTCCCTAATTCTGACACACCAACTCCCCATTACTCCAGTTACTGTATCAGTCCATCTCATCTGCGGTCTCCCTCTTCTGTGCTGTGCGTCCACCCTTCCAAGCATGATATCTTTCTCTTAAGGACCTATATCTCCTGGCCGCATGCACAAAGTAAGTGAGGCAGAGCTTAAAAATCCTAGCCTCCAAGGAAAGACCTGATTCCACCCTCTCCAAGACAGACCTATTTGTTTTCTTCACGGTCCATGGTATGCTCAAGACTCTTCTCCAGCACCACAGCTTGAAGGTATCTATTATTATTATGTCATCCTTAGTCATTGTCCAACTCTCTGAAGCATAACAAGCAATTGAGAAGACCATGGCCTGGATTATGTACACCTTTGTATCTAGGCTGATATCATTGTTCTTCAGCACTCTGGAGAGGTCCATTATAGTAGACTTTCCCAATGCAATTCATCTTTTGATTTCCTGACTGCTGGTGTTAATTAAGTGTGTTGATTTTGGATCCGAGCAAGCTGTAATTGGTGGTTTGGGTTTTTTTTGTTTGTTTTGGGTGTGTGTGTGTGTGTGTGTGTGTGTGTGTGAGAGAGAGAGAGAGAGAGAGAGAGAGGGAGAGAGGGAGAGAGAGATAGAAATTTGTATTTCGAATTAATCAGCTTGATTCGGTTTAGATGATCCCAATTTTGTTGGCAACACCCATAGCATCATAGTCAGGAGCAAGTCAAACATAGGCCTTCTTCTCTCCATCAGGCCTAATCAAAGTGTTGACCTTGGCCACATCAATGTCATAGAGCTTCTTTACAGCTTGTTTAATTTGGTGCTTGTTGGCCTTGACACCCATAATGAACACAAGTGTGTTGTTATCTTCTTCTTGGCTGACTCAGTGGTCAGGGGAAATTTGCTGATGGCATAGTGGTCAAGGTTGTTTGTCCTGGGGACGCTCTTCTGGGGGTATTTGGGCTGCCTTCAGAATCTCAGCATCTTAGGCTGCTGGAAGGTGGGTGACATGTGGATTTTTTTTTTTTTTTTTTTTTGTCTGTGGATGCCCTTCAGGACTGCCTTCTTGGCCTTTAATGCCTTTGCTTTGGCTTCAGTTTTGGAAGGGGCAGAGGCTTCCTTCTTCACTTTCGGTGCCATCTTCATAGAGAGGAAGCTGTAATTGTCAACAATCTCAATTTCTTCTCCATCAAAGATGGTGCTGCCAACTGGCCCACTGGTGAAAATCTTTGTCTTCTTGATGTTGAGCTCCAATCCACTGAGGATGAGCTTTATAAAAATCAGAGTGAACAAAACTTCTGGTTCTCTTTGGAATTCACTGTATGAAGAATTAATTAGATAGTGCCAGGTACTAAATGACTCTAAGGTCCTTGATACCTGTTTTGGCAGGGACATCAGTATGTGCGAGTCTGTCCTGAGAACAAGTACAGCAATGCTTTCCTCAAGATCAGGTGTCCTCTTCTTGTCTTCTTCCTTCATGCTTCGTCTTCACTCTTTCTCAGTGCACATTGCGGAAATGCTGCCAGATAGTGCCCGTTTGGAAAAGTACAGCTCAGTTGGTATGAATCAGCTTGGGCAGGCGAAAAGTGATTCATATCCGGCCAACTTGGTTTATGCAGTTCAAATTGTCTGTTCTGAATTGTTTTCTCCTTTCTAATTAAGCAACGATTGGTCTGGATGGTGAGAGAGAAGGGATTGAATATAATTTTTCTGTATTTGTGGAACAAATGGGACCGCATTAATAGGGGGAGATGCCATCCCTCTTAGCAAAGAACTACTGATGGTGAGGTGGAATGGCAGCGATGCGGAGAACTTTGCCATCTTAGGGGTCTGCTGTGCTCTGCAGCCTGGTGAGGTTTGGTCCAGAACTCTTTACCACGTTCTCTAATGAAAACTCTCTCCGGGGAGCACACAGAGCTTAATTAACCTATTTGACACAGCTCTTGAATCACTGGGCACTGTGCCTGGACACAGTTATGTTTGAGAGGGAGATGGTGATGATCAAAATATCTCCCCTCACCTCCTGCCGTCACTCACATTCAAGCCCAATCCCAACTTCTGTGTGCTGTTTCTACCCTGGACTGGTTTGCCAAATGCCTGGTATTTCTTGTGTCTTATTGTAGCTTAGCTCTTCAGCCCTGGAGAAACCTGACTGTGCTTATATACGACATGCCATGCTCCTTCATCTGGGCATTGGCAGTCACCACCGAGTGGCTGCCATGTCCCAGGCATTGTCCGAGGTTACAGTGAGAGTGAACGGAATGCCTGCCATGTGCCAGGGGCCATATTTAATTTGGTTTGCTCAGCAACCCTCTGAAACAGTTGAAAATGCCCCCATTTTACTGACGTGCAGTTGGAAACTCAGAAAGGTATGGTGCTCCAAATCATGGCTGTGAGTCGAGTGGCCAGAGGCAGGATTCATACTCAGGGCTGACTTCAGAGTTCCTGCTCCTTCTATTGAACAGCAGTGCCTCCTACAATAGACGAGGATAGTCATTAACAGACTCACAGACTCACTGAATCCTCCTTGGAAGGTCTAGGCTGGGGGCTGGGGGATTCGTAGACACCACAGTGAGGTAAGGGTGGAAACAATTCTCTGTCTGTCCTTTGAGTGTTCTCCTCACATTCACAGTGCTGTAATCCCTCCTGACTACTAATAAGGCAGAAAGAGAAAAACTCAGGCAAATGAGGTAGCTTGCTATTCCTAGGGATTAGAATTCAGGGTGGATAAACACAGGCAGTTTCTCCAGAAGTATAAATAGAAAGACTTCACACGTGAGTGAAGCGAGACACGTTTTGGGGCTGGAACTGAGGCAGCAGTGAAGTTGATTTCCTAATCTTCAGTCTGCCTCCCTTGGTGTCTCCAGAGCCTTTCCTTGCTGGTCACTCTCAGCTCAGTGGGGACAGCAAATGCCATTCAGACCTCCAGATATTTTGTTGGGATCAGGTTTTGGCCAATGAATTCCTTTACCTTACAAGCATCTCTCTGCCGATTAAACCGATGGGAGATCCCTTTAAGTGTGAAATCTTGACTTCTTACTCTTTAAGTTCTCTGTGAAGTTCTAAACTTCACAGTTCTGGTCTCACTTTTCCTAAATGCCCTGTTCTCCCCTTCCTCAGGTGTTGACTTTAAGATGAAGACCATAGAAGTAGATGGCATCAAAGTGCGGATACAGATCTGGTGAGTTGGGCAGGAGGAGGGCCCCAGACTGCATCTGGGATAATGGTCACCTCTCTGATGTGAAATCTCAAGACTCTCCTATATTCTTACGGCAACTCTCATTTTTTTCTTTAAGAAATTTTATGTGTTTGACCACACATCACCAGAAGGCAGAAATTGACAAATTTGGTTTGTCTTGTTTAAAGATCCCCTTGCCCCCTTGCAGTTAAGACTAGAAGGTGGGGAGACCACAGACCATCATTTAGGGGGAGTCCTGGTGCGACTACAACAGAACAGCATGTTGCAGTTCCGTGAGTGGCCACAGGGGGTAGCTGTGGCTCTCCTGAAGGATTGATGCTTTTGCCAGCTTTTGAAAGAGAATCCCAGTTCCAGATTAGTACAGATGTTGCCTTCAGAGGTCCCAGTGGGTTTGCAAGTATAGCAGCAATTCCTCATCCAACCAAGTCTGCCCTCCAGGGACAACTTGTCGAGAGCTGCCTACACTTCGGTGATGGTTGAGTCCTGGTCCAGACAGAGTTGCCAGGAGGGGCCAAGGCATTGCTGGGACACTGGCGGTGCCAGCGTAGACAGAGATGATGGGGCCTCTCTCCTGCTGAGCCAGGAATGTTTGGACTCAATTGGGGATCAAATAACCATTGATTTTCACCCTGCAGTCCCCCCCATTTTCCCTGCAAGGGCACAAGATCTCCCCAGCTCCTCTCTTCTCCACATGGCCTTCTCAGTACCTGCTCTTCTGAGGGACTGGCTTTCAATTGCAGGGACACGGCTGGGCAGGAGAGGTATCAGACCATCACAAAGCAGTACTATCGACGGGCCCAGGTAAGCCACCATTTTTGGGGTTCAGAGTTGTGAAGCTGCTACCCAAACTCCCACCTCAGGGTGTTTATTAGTGTTAGTGATCCCCAAAATAGGCCTTCTGGATTGTCTATTAGGGAGGGGGCTGGAGGGAAGCTTTCGGTTGTCACTGACCATTCAGCCTTCAACATTCACTGAGCGCTCACTGCAGGCAAGTCTGTATTACCCCCAACTTCCACCCTCCACTCTGGGCCGGAGATCCAGGTCAGGGCATTCAGTGCCTTCCTGCCCTGAGTTCAGCGATGGCCCTGGGACACTGGAGCTTTTGGAGGTCTGAGAGGAATGGTGGGTTTCCAGGGAAACTTCATACTAAACTGGGAGAAGGGGCTGAGAGTGGGACCCGGCATTTACAGCATCACACCCCCTTTTGGTCCATTGTCTGTATCCGTCTCCCTACCTCTCTGTGTTTGTTTCTTTCTCAGGGAATATTCTTAGTCTATGACATTAGCAGCGAGCGCTCTTACCAGCACATCATGAAGTGGGTCAGTGATGTGGATGAGGTAGGAGACCCACCTCACTGACGGGGTGGGGAAGGGGTCCTCCGAGGGGAAGGCAGAGGGGAGGCCTGAAGCTCTCAGGAATGCGGATGAGGTAGGGGACCCACCTCACTGACGGGGTGGGGAAGGGGTCCTCTGAGGGGAAGGCAGAGGGGAGGCCTGAAGCTCTCAGGGTTGGTGAACAAATGCTGCCAGGAAACCTTGCCCCCCATCCCCCAGTAGCCCCTTGGATGAAGACTTTAGGTAAATCAGTCTTGGGGAGGTGCCCAGTTGCCATGCCCTTTTGCGCACTTCCCTGCCAGGGCCCAGCTGCTGTTTCATCCCTAGAAATGAATTTGTTTCAAGCTCTATCCTGTTAATTTCTTCCTTTTGGAAATCTCAGGACCAAATATAGTTGAGAGACTAGGGTCCTGCTCTTTGTTATACAGCTATGAAGCTGTAGGCAAGCCATTTTAACTCTGCTTACCTAGTTCTTCATTTGTAGAATGAGGAATTATAATAAGTCCATTGTCCTTTCTAGCTCTAATATCTGTTGTCCAAACCAAGAAAGCACCAGTTCTGGCCAGTGTTTCCTACCCTAAACTGTCCCGTGACATCCCTCCAAGACACTGTCATCTGACCTGTTTTCAGTCAGTCTGTCTGCCCCTTGGGCTCTTGTTTGGAGACTAGTATAAACAGACTGGTGGAGGGGAAGGAGGTTTTACAGGCAGTTTCCCTATCCTTTGTCCTTAGTATGCACCAGAAGGCGTCCAGAAGATCCTCATAGGGAATAAGGCTGATGAAGAACAGAAACGACAGGTGGGAAGAGAGCAAGGGCAGCAGGTGAGTGGCAGTGAGCAGGCTGAGTCTATCCTCGCTGGAACCTCATCAGGTCCTCTCACGCCTCCCACAGTACCCCAAGGCTCTGGGGGAGCTGCCATATGTGGAGTTTGCCTTTTATCCTTCAGGTCCATATGAAACAAGACCTCCTGGACTGCACTCTCCCAGGTCTGAGTAGCAAGATTCACATTCAATGTCATCGAGTCAGAATCGACTCACAGGGGATCTCCATTGGGTTTCTGAGGTTGTAAATCAAGCAGGAAGAGACTGCCCATCTTTCTCAGTTAGTGGATTCTAACTGCCAGTGAGCTCCCTCCGTAACAAGGAGCAGAAATGCCCTCTACTTAGATAATCTCTGTGGTGGTGATCGGGGACTTCTAACAGCATCCAGACATAGCTAGCATTTTACACTCAGGAAACATCTGCCTCACCCCCATCTTGGCCTCCTCCACCCCCTCTCCCTTCCTCCTTTTCTCTAGAGGAGGGAGGAGGGAAAATGAGGAAAGATGGAGGGCCTGTGGTTGAAGAGGCTTGTATGGCAGGAAGGGGAAGAGGTTGGCATTGAGGGAATGTCCAAGCAGAAAGGGAGACCATCTTCAAGAGAACAGAAAGGAAGATTGATGTTTCTGAGTCAAGAATTAGCCTCTCGTTTTAGGGTCCTAAAGAGCTTTTCTTGTTTAAAAGCATTCTGTTACTACTTAAAATTTATTTACTTTTGCTGTTGTGTGGAGGAGAAACTTACTATAATTGTATTTATTGAGACTTGCATGACTGGCATGGTGCTTTAAACATATAAGCCTATTTAATCATTCCCCAACCTTGGACAATGTTGTTGTTGTTGTTGTTGTTGTGTGCCATCAAGTCACCTGCAACTCACAGCGAACCTATGTACAACACCAAGACAGTCCTGTTTGTTTTCTTGGCAGTCTACGGTATGTTCAAGACTCTTCTCCTGCATAGCTCTTATTCCCATTTGGGAGCTCTGGTGGCTTAGCAGTTTAGGGCTACACTGGTAACCCAAAGGTACGCGGTTTAAATCCACCAGCTGCTCTGCGGGGAGAGGTGGGCAATGTCCTTTCATACGGTTAACTGCCTCTGAAAACCAGCAGGAGGGTCAGCTATGGGTCAATTCTGATTCAACAGTATGTAACAACAACAACAACATAATTCCGATTTCAGAAATGATGACACGAGGGCTTAGAAAGAAATAGTAACTTGTTTAAAGTCATTGTCACTCTTAAGTGACAGCACTGGCATTCCAGTCTGTCTGACACTAATGCCCATGTTCTTCATTAAGATGCCAAACATTTTACTATCTTTGTCTCCTGTCATGATGTGTGTATTGGGCACGTGGCTGAGTGTATGGGTGTGTTGAGGAGAGAGTATTTGTGTAGCTTCTTCTCCCATACTGTGTTATGTTAGCCCACACCTTACCAGGAGCGCCCGGTCTAGACCTTCTCTGAGGAACTGTCGTGACACAGGCTGGTGTGTGAGTGTTATGCTGTTAGTATACCAGGTGCTGTGGGAGCCTCCTTCCTCTCACTGGCTCCCTCTCAGAACGGTTCTTCTCCTGCAGCTGGCTAGGGAGTACGGCATGGACTTCTATGAAACAAGTGCCTGCACCAACCTCAACATTAAAGAGGTGAGATCCGGGAGACCTGCTGCCCTGTTATCCTGGCGAAATCAGCAGAGTGGGGTGTTGTGGGGGAGGAGGAGAAGGAGCCACGATAGTGGAACTTCCCTGCTTTGGGCAGTGCAGACTGACGAGGGGACAGGGAAAGGGGCCGACTAACCTGTGCCCCTTGCTTTCCCAGTCTTTCACGCGTCTGACGGAGCTGGTGCTGCAGGCCCATCGGAAGGAGCTGGATGGGCTCCAGACACGTGCCAGCCATGAGCTGGCACTAGCTGAGCTGGAGGAGGAAGAGGGCAAACCTGAGGGCCCAGCAACCTCTTCAAAAACCTGCTGGTGCTGAGAGTTCTGTGCGGGGCACCCTACACAATACCCCTCTTCCCTCAGGAGGCCTGTGGGCAGACAGGGGAGCCTGGCCTTTTCCCCACTGCTGTCCTTTCCTTTGGATGACCTGCTGAGTATCAATAGCTGCTACTCCCTCCTGCCTGGCCCTGACAGTGGCTCTGCTGTCACCTCTGAGCAGCCTTGTCCCCAGCCCTTCCCTAGAGTACGGGCCTCCGGTCTGTTTTCCTAGAAACAGGCCTGCGATGGCTCCTGAGTGCTTTAAGCACGGTCTCACTGCCTGGGCTCCTCCAGTTTTGGCTAGTTTGGGGTCAAAGCCAGTGTAAGGCTCCTTCTTTCCAGTGCATTTAGTCTCCTCTCTACTTCTCTCTTCCCCCTTACTGTCCAGTGTGTTTTCTATCAGAGCCCTTTCCCTGTTGTGTCCTGCTGTGTAGCTGCTGGTGGAGCTTCCTTCCTCCATTTCTTCCTTACCCCTGTCCCAGGGGTTGGGCCCAGGCTCGTGGGGATGTTCCATTTCCTCTGCTCCAGGGAGAACCACCCCCAGCTTTGTGGGTGGGCCAAAGGGTACAGGGTGCTTCTTCCTCTGCTCCCCCACCCCACTGCTCCCTCCTTGTGCCAGGGGCCCACCTCACCGGTGACCGGGGAAAGTGCAACATCAAGGGAGGGAGGAAACACCAAACTGAAGGGCTGCAAGCCCAGGGCTGTCCTACCTCCACCCACTCCCCAGCCTGAGCTTTAGCCTTGCTTGGCTGCTTGCCCGCCTGCCTGCCTTTTTGGGGAACTGAGCTTTGAGGTAGGTGCCCCAGAGAAGAAGGGGAAAAAATGGTGAGGGGTGGCAGGGATAAAAAGTCACCTTCATTCTCTACCTCCCATGCAGTGTGGACACAGTATCTCCCCACCTGGGCTCCCAGAGTTAAAGATACAGACCAGGGCCTGAGGGTACTGCAGAGGCAAAGAGAGGCCTGGGTCAGTGGCATGACAAGCCCCACCATGCCATCCAGGAAGGGAGGTGTTCAGAGATGAGCTCCTCCATCTAGTTCAGGGCCAGGGAGAGAGGTCGGGGCAGCACTTGGCAAACCAGACGGGCATGTGGCAGCAGCAAGGCCTGCTGGGCGCCATCTTCCATTTCTTGGGGGAGAGGAACGTTTCCCCTGTGATGCTCTGGCCAAGGTGAGAGGAGCTGTAAACACCTCAGTCTTTCAGTGAACCTAACCTTTAGCTCTCAAGGTTTTCCTGGGACCCAGCGTTTGTGAGAGAAGGGCCAGGACCCCATGGGACAAAAGAAAGAAGGCCCTGAGGAAAATGCTTGGTGCTTGTTCTCTTCAGCCTTTAAGATAAAGTGCTCCTCTTGCCCCTTTAGCTTCTGCACAGGAGGCTTGAGGGTTTGCCAACTGCACTGTGGCTACTGGTGGAGGGAAGAGAGTGCCTTCCACCAGAGTTCTTTGTTCAGGAAGATGATCCTTTCAATTGACATGGCCCAAGAGTAGCTTGAGGAAGAAGAAGGAAAAAGTTGGTTACTACTCCTTCTAGGGTCCCTCCCCGGGTCCCACCTTGCAAGTGGAGAAGCCTAAGTTAGAGACTCGTTCTCAGGCTACATTAGCTGCCTCCACATGGTTGGGGCAAGTACTGAGCATGGGCGTTCATCAACTTAGGACCAAAATCTAGTGCACCCACATCTAGTGGAGTATTCCTTACTCCCAACAGTAAGCAGAGGGCAAAACCACCCACCCTTTCCTCCTGTCTCTTAACAAATCAGAAAACAGCAATCAGCAAACAGCCGGCAGGAGAGAGCAGCTCAGGATTTAGGAACAGAATCGGTTAGCATAGTAAAAGGAAGAACACAGGAATTATTATCAATCAATCGTCAGCTAGTGAGGAACTGCTGACTACTTAGGATGAAGCCATGACGATGGCTGGGGCTGTGTCCTTGAGGACCGATTCCTTGGGTCCAAGACATAGGCAGCATCACATATGGGGGTGGGAGGTTGGTAATGCCAACTCTCTGCCTATCCTCAGCCAGGGACTTCAGGAAGGGGAAGTTATATAGGGCACTGGCTCCAACCAGTGAGTTGTATTGCAGCTTTCCCTGAAGATCAGGCAGAGCACCACTGCCTTTCTTCTAGCCCCTCAGAAAAGAGGGACTATATACTTCACTGTCCCCTAGAGGTTCTAGAAAGGAAGACGTGGGGTCAGGATGATATGGACTTAGTCTATCCCCAAGGGCTATCGCTGGGTGAAGAGATGGGAGCAGGAGGAGGGTTGGGATTTCTTTTAGGGAGCAGCTACACTTACAAGGTACCAGAATTGGCCTCTCTCTCCTAAACTTCTCCAGTCCAAGAAGTGATCTGGGATCTGGCATCAGGACCAGACTGTTGAGCAGGCCCCTCTGGCCTGTTGATTCATTGCCACCTCTGCACCTGCTGTCTTGAGACCCAGCCCAGCCCCAGGCACCACTGCTCCTGAGCCCCTACCATCTCCCTGTGACGGGTGTACTTTGTGTACTGTGTCTCGGGTCCAATATATGAATTGTGAGCAGGGTCCATCTATTTTAAACACAGATGTTTACAAAATAAAGGATATTTCAAACCACAGGCGTGGCTAACACTGTAGAGTCCCTTGGCTCAGTCCTGTTCGGGCAATGACTATGGGTGTGGTGAGGCAGGCCTAGACGAAGAGTCTTGGGAAGGCTAAAGCCACAGCCATAGAGTGACGATGGAAGCAGCAAACATGGTCTTCTGTACCTTCCCAGGTTTACCTGCAGGCAGCTCAAAGCAAAGCTCCTACTCCCTGCAACAGACTTGTTAGATGCCATCAATTCAGCTCCGACTCGTAGCAAACCTACATACAACATGTTCACAGAGCTAAGATTAAACACAAGGAAGGCCTTTCTTACAGCTCTTGGGAGGTTGCTGGGTAGGTGTGTCAGAGGGAATCTCTAGAGTCACAGTGGTTCTCATTGATTTGAAATGGAACAGGCCTTCCTGAACGCATATTGTTAGGTGCCACTGAGTCAACCACAACTTACAGCGACTCTGAAGAACAGATATGAACCCTGCCCTCAACGGCACCCTCCTCACAGTCTCTGATAGGCTAGAGCCTATTGTTACGGCTACTGTGTAAGTTCATTTGTTGAGGGTCTTCCTTGTTTTGTCTGACTCCATCTTTCTCAGCATGACTTCTTTTTCTAAGGGCTAGCCCCTCCTGACAACATGCCCAAAGTCTGTCAGATAGACTTTCACTAGTCTTGCATCTAAGGAGCACCCTGTGTGTGTGTCTTCCAAGGTAGACTTGAACTTCTTTTGGTAGTTCATGGGATATTAAGTCCTCTCCAGCACCAGAGTTCAGTGTATTGATTCTTCTGCAATCTGATTAACTACCCATCTTTTGCATAATAACAAGTAAGTTACCATGGCTTGGATCAGGCGTGCTCCTTAGCATTTAGGAGAGGTCCTTGGCAGAAGATTTTCCCAATGCAGCATGTCACCTTGGGTTTTCACTTTGGACCCAAGTAAAATGAAATCCTTGACAACTTCAATCTTTTCTCCATGTATCATTTTGCCTGTTGGTCCAGTGGTGAGGATTTTTGTTTTCTTGATATTGAGACATCATCTATATTGAAGCCTGTAGTCTTTGATCTTCTGCAACAAGTGCTTCAAGTCATCTTCAGCTTCTGCAAGCAAAGTTGTGTCTTCTGCATAACAACTTGTTGATCAGTCATCCTCTAATCCTGATGCCCATTCTTAAGAGTCTAGCTTCTTGAATGATTTGCCTAGCGAAGGCTGAAGTGATATGCAGAAAGGATACAACCCTGACACATACCTGGATTTGAAATCATACAATGTTCCTTTGTTTTATTCAGACAACTGCTTTTTAGTCTAGGTATAGTTTCAGATGCAGACTATAATCCTAGCTCTCTGTGTGGCATTTAATAGTATAGGGTGTGGAGCTCAATTAAAAGAATGGGGTAAAGATCAAGTGAAGAGGGAAGGCGTGAAAAAGGCAGGGCAATAGTAGCCTGCAGTTTGCAGTTTACAAAGCACCTGTAATACTTTATCTCCTTTGATCTTTACAGTCTTTGTGGGAAAGAAAGGGTGATTATCCACATTCAACAGATAAGGGAACAGATGCTTACAGAGTCAGAAAGATTTTAGTTGGTACTAAGTAACAGTGGTAGAGTTGGGTTAGAAACCTGTGGTGGGTAAAACTTTGACAACGCTATTTAGAAAAATCTATAGGTGATTCTCATTTGTAGGCAGGGTTGAGAACCATTGACCCAGGATTTCTACCTGCTAAGCCCATCCTATTTCCACAACCAATGTCCCTACAGAAAATTATGGAAGTCACACCCTTGTTTGTACATGCCCAAAGTAAAAACTTGCTGGAAAGTGGAGCCAGATGGGTTGGAGACAAGTATTTTAAAAGAGCCTTGTCAATTTCAATCATGAGAGGTGAGAACCAGGGAGAAAGGGACAGCATATGCTTAGGGAAAGAAGAGGTCATCCTCCATTCCTCTCAGGAAAGTCTCCAAAGAAACTCCATGGCCACCTTAGAGAGGCACAAAAAAACCAGTCACTACGAGGTATCTGGAAGCCTAGGTATAGTGCAGAAGCTCCAGGCATGCAGATTAATCTCCCACAAATTGATGTCACAAGTTTCGCCCACTGTCACTGCCAAGTTCTTCTGGTTCCGGCTTGGTAGGGAGGCATGTTGGCTGCTCTTAAGAACTCCTCCTTGAGACTCAGCAGGGGATGTATTTCATCCTGCTTTTGCTGTCACCCCTTCTAATGGCAAAAAATTCCACTCTGACTTAGGTAATGGGAGCTTGTTTTTAGGAGCAGCCATCTGAGATATACAGGTCCCTCATGGAGCAGGTTACAAAAGCAAGCAGCTGAGAGCGCTGTGGCAAGTGGTTCTTCCATCTCCTGAACAAGCTGGATTCTCCCGAGCAGCTGCTCCCAGCTGGGCTTATTTGTTGTCCCTGGGGACAGTTCTCAATGGATGTGTCCCTGTGAAAACACTCTGTCAGGTGCAGTCGGGTTGGCTCTCCCTCATAGTGACTCTAAGTACAAGAGAAGGAAATGCCACCTGCTCCTGTCCTTCCCCAGTCATCGCTGTCCGAGTCCATAGCAGCCACGGGATCAGACCATCCTGTTAGTCTTCCTCTTCTGTTGGCTCAACTTCTACTTCTCCAAGATGGTGTCCTTCGCCAGGAACGGACCTCTTCTGCAAGGCGTCCTAAGGAGCATTCTCACTACACTCACCTCCAGACAGATACCTTCGTTCTGGAAGTCTCAGGTAGTGAACACTAGTGATTTTCCTTCTCTTGTGTGTGGGGTCTCTAGGAGTCAGCTGGCTCCAGGCACCTAGCAGCAGTAACAGTAAACATCTGTATTGCTGTTGAAATTCATGCTAAAATCCCAAGCCAGGTAAAGCTTGATTATCTGTTTTACTGATAGAGAAATCAAGGCATTAAAGTGGGTGCTTGGAAACATAAAATGGCATGATGGTCTTTTTTCCTTTCTATGGGCTTCCAGAATAAGCTTCTATGATAGCCCCAAGCAGATACTCAGATGCCCTACAATGTATGACATGCCGCTTTTGAGAAGTTTACCCGTGTCCTAGCTCGCTCTTGAGGCATGGCCACCTCAATGCCTTGCACGCTTTCTCTGATGGAAAGATGACCAGCACAAGCCCTGCTCTGAAGAGTCTTTGGGACTAAGCCCATGTCTAAAAGGAAAGACATTCAGCTTAGTCACCTTTAATTTACTCACCTGCTCTGTGACTCCCATTCTTCCGATCACAGTGGTGATTGTATCTTTTTGCCTTTGTTGGGAGGTAGGGAGCTCTGATGGCTTAATGGTAAGGAGCTGTGCTTTCAACCTACAGGCACAGGGTTCAAATCCACAAGCTGCTCCACACAAGAAAGATGGGCAATCTCCTCACATGTGATTTACTACTTCTGGAAACCTGCCAGCAGGTCAGCTGTGAGTTGGTTTTGACTTGGCGGCATGTTACAACCTGGGACAGTGTGGGGTATGAATAGTGAGGGGACAAGGTTAGACACATTCTCTGGGAGGTCTTCAGCTTGGTGCAAGTAGAAGCACTGGAAGTCATTTCTACAAAAAGTTACATACTCTCCTTAGAGTACCTCTGATTTTGAGTTTGTGGGAAGCCACAGCCAAAGAGGAACATCTGGAACAAATAGGTGCAGCCTTCACTTACAGCCTGAGTCAGGTGAACACAGGTTGTGGTTCTCACCCTCACCTTTCAGATCTCAGAAGACCCCTGACCTCTCACTGCACAACTCAGAGCTTGGCTCTCAGCAGGCATTCAGTCTATGTTTGTGCCCAGTACAGACAACTTACTGGGGCAAGTAGGAGTCAATCCTTGTGCATCTCTCCCTCCCCTTTTTCCTCCTCAAGCGACCTTTGGGGTTCTGGTTTCCTGAAAGTAGTGAATTATTCAGATCTGCTGTAGATATCAAATGGGCCCTTCCAGGTTAGCAGCAGGGTGGGGCAGGGAGGTGGCTTTGTTCAGAGTCTGTAAATAGGAGGAACAACCTCCTTGTTCAAATAGCACTTGCAGGTGGGGGACTGGTTTTGCCAAGTCATCCTGGGGATGCTCAATGCCCCATTGTGAGATCCTTTCTTTCCTTCTTCCTGGCTCCTCCTTCCTCCCCACCCTTTAAGAGGCCCTTCCAAGGCCTCCTGCCATTCTGCAGAGCTTACCCTGCGTTTTCACCATGGCTTACATCGCCAAGTCCTTCTACGACCTCAGTGCTGTCAGCCTCGATGGGGACAAGATAGACTTCAATACATTCCGAGGCAGGGCAGTGTTGATCGAGAATGTGGCCTCACTCTGAGGCACAACCACCCGGGACTTCACCCAGCTCAACGAGCTGCAATGCCGCTTTCCCAGGCGTCTGGTGGTTCTTGGCTTCCCCTGCAACCAATTTGGACATCAGGTGAGGGGTCCCCTTGTACTGTACCCAAGGAATTGGCCAGATGAGGCTTGAGGAGGTGAAGGGGAGGGAGGGTAAGTGAGTTTGTGTGTTAAGAGTGTCTGCAATTTTAGGGTGTGGTCTGCTTGTAACTTTTTGAGGTTAAACGTGACTTACTATCTACAGTTTATCTCATTATATGAGAACAAGTACTAGGTCTGTTTTTCTCTCCATTGTGTGTCTATGCTTTGGGTATGGATGGCACTCATTAAATAAATGTTGAATTATGAATGGTGCAAATAAAAGGTCAAGAATCAAATTAGGATTGGACTTAGGAGACCTTAGTTCTATCTAGCGGCTCCGTGCCCTAGCAACACTCAAATGTTCTTAGTTTCTTCCACTGTAAATTGGGAATAATTTCTCTCATAAGATTACTATAAAAATACTACTGTAAATTCAGGGAATATAAAAGTAATTTGAAAAATATCAAGAACTATACAAATGTTAAGAAAGTTCTGGTAGCCTAATGGATAAAAAGTTGCACTGCCAACCCAAGGGCTAGTGGTTCAAATCCACCAGCTGCTCTGAGGGAGAAGGATGGGCAATTTCCTCCAGTTCCATTTGTCTCTCAAAACCTGCTGGAGGGTTAGCTCTGGAGTTGGCTCTGATTCAATAGCATATAACAACAACATTTAAAAAATTTAGATTAACATGGAAAATGGATGGGGGGGGGGTGTAAGGGTTTGCAGTGAGCAAGTGTCTCTTCCCTGGGTCACATGGACCTGCCTCGGATTACTGGGGCAGGCTGTTAGAACTTTTCAACCTGCACACCACCTCAAGTTATCCTTCCAGTGATTCTTCTGTTTCCACTTAGTTTTAATAGCACAAGCAGGCAGAATGTCCCCAAGTGAACCCTTTAATTACAATCCCCTTAGTGCAATTCACAGCGGCACAAACGCAAGGCAAAGATTAGCAGAGATGTAAGCAGAAAGGCCAATGTGTCACTGGCGCTGATAAACCTGAGTCAAAACAATTTCTGCTCTCACTCTTCCTTTGGGGAGATAACCACAGCAACAGCAGAACTAAACCTACTGGCACTGAGTGGGCTCGGACTCGCGTGTGACCCGGGGGACGCAGGAGACTGCTCAGAGGCTTCCAAGGCTGTAGAGCCTTGTGGAAGCAGACTGCCTCATCGTCCTCCCACAGAGCAGCTGCTGGGCTTGAACCACTTTTTTGTTAGCAGCCAAATCCTTCAACTACTGTGCCACCTCTTGACTGAGGGGAGACAGGGTATCTCTCCAGTCCTAAATGTGCTTGAGGGAGTCCATAACTCACCAGAATCCAGCTAGCCATTTGCATTCAGAGATAAGAAGTCTAATAGAGATCAACTCATGATGGCCTCCAATTGACTGTACTAATTGGTTCTAATAGGTCAGAGGAAGAAATTTGACTCCTAGAGTAGAATAGGAGAAAGGAGAGAGGGGATCATCAGCAAAGGTTCTCACAGATAACCCTTTTGGGTGGTACTGATGGAGTAGTCAGGAGATGGTAATGGCATGGCAGTGGGGACACAGCGCAGGTAACAGGTTCAGAATTACAGCATCTGTAACTGAGTACAGTGAGTGAACATAAGGTGCAAGTTTGGGGGATGGCAGCCTGTGAGTGAAAGGAGTAAGAATTACATATTCACAGCTTTTAGCTGTCATGTACTTACTCCCTTAACTTCTCCTATGTCTTGTCCAAGCCCTAAACACCCTCTCCTAGTTTATTCATGCCTGGTAGGTCCTAAGTCCGTCAGAGGACATCCATGGTGGTCTCTGCCTGGTTTGTCCTTTGTGGTACCTAAGAACTAGACTTGTTTGGATAGAGTCTTCTTTTAGCAACACCTACTACCACTCCTACTTGTTCAAGGATAAAGCAGGCTGGAAGCAGGCAGCTGTAAATCCCATTCCTCTGGACTTCAAGTTCATCCTTAGTTTGAGGAACAGGGTAGGGCAGAAGCAAAGGCAATACTCAACACTCAAGTGTCAGTAAAAGAAACAGAGACAAAGCCAGGGCAGATGGAAAAGGAAGGTGATCGCGCGTGTGCGTGTGTGTGTGTGTGTGTAAAGCAGAAGAGAGCATTCTAGGCAGTGTAACCTGAGACCCCCTCTCCTTTTTCTCTAAACTCAAGGTTTCTTAAAGCTTCAGACACTGTAAGAACAGTTTAGAGTAGACTGAAAAGCAGCAGCCTAAAACTGCTAAATCTGTCAGTGTAAGAAAGCCAAGCTGGAAAGTACAAGAATTTTTGGAAACCATCAAATGATAAAAGAGCTCTGGTGGCTTAGTGGTAAGGAGACATGTTGCCAACCCAAAGGCACATGGTTTGAATCCAACAGGTGCTCTTTGGGATAAAGGACCAATTCCTCCCAGGTGATTTTGTGCTTCTGAAAACCTTCCAGAGGGTTAGCTGTGAGTCAGTTCACATTCAACACTTTACAACATAACCAAGTAATAACTCTGAGCGGGGCAACCTCCAAGTTTAGAGTTGTTGCAGTGTACTGCAGAGTCAGCACCAACCCACAGCCGCCCATCTGGCAGGTTTTCAGAGGCAGTTAATGGGAAGAGAATAGGGGACAATAAATGGAGAAAGAAATCCCCCTTCCATTTCCATGTTCTTTTGTTTTTCCCTCCTCAGGAGAACTGTCAGAATGAGGAGATCCTGAATAGTCTCAAGTATGTGCGCCCCGGAAATGGCTTCCAGCCCACTTTTACCCTGGCCCAAAAGTGTGAGGTGAATGGTCAGAATGAGCATCCCGTCTTCGCCTACCTGAAGGACAAGCTCCCCTACCCTTACGATGATCAGTACTCCCTCATGACTGATCCCAAGTTCTTCATCTGGAGCCCGGTGCGCCGCTCAGATGTGGCCTGGAACTTTGAGAAGTTCCTTATTGGGCCAGAGGGAGAGCCTTTCCGACGCTACAGCCGCACCTTCCCTACCATCAACATCGAGCCTGACATCAAGCGCCTCCTTAAAGTTGCCATATAGATGACAGTGGTGGAGCAGGTGGATCTCCTACTCCGTCCAGTCCCTGAATATCCTTCCCCAGGATTTGGTGTGCCTTCAGGAGACACTGCTGGACCTACGCGTTCCCTCGAGCTCAATCCCCTACACTGAAGCTTGTCTTTCTGGTCAGCCTACTTCCTTTTCCTCTCCACCTGCAGTTTGCTGATTCAATTTAGGACTCGGAGACTTGGGTGGGCTCTAGACCTTCAAAGAATGATGGCACCTCCCTAAACCCTGCGGGTGGTGTCTGAGAAATGTTGAAGACCCTAGGGTCATCCATCTAGAGGAGTCCAATAAATGGGTGTGGAAATGGAGAGGCTCTGTGTCTTTTTCTAGACAGAGGACAAAGAGAAAAAAAAACACACACACCAAACAACCCTGCAGATAGAAGACAGGGGCAGAGAACACACAAAGGCTTGGAGGAAAGAGACTCAGATGGAGGGGTTATCTTAATTCCTGTCTGGAAAGCAGGCTCCAGTCAAGGTCTCCACTGGCAGTTGGAATTGCCAGCAGTTGGAATTGCAGGAAACAGAAATTCATGATTACTTTATGACTCTTCTCCAGACCAAGGAAATGGAGATGGTGATAAGGGAGGAGGAAAGACTCTCTTGGCCTTTTTGATTGAGGTGACTGAGAGGTTAATGAAAAGATTATAACTGAGAAGATGTCATTCTCTCTTCGGGGGAAATGAGCCAACCAGATAGTACTTGCACTTTTGAAAATTCCTGGGAAGTCCATTCAGTCAGCTTTTACTGATAACAAGGGTGTGGAGATGCAGTAACTAGCAACATAAAGAGCATTTCATCCTTTCCCTGATCAACTTGTTGAGTAACATTTATTCTTGGCACTTTGGTAGGCTGATTCTCCTTTCTTTTGAAAGTTCACATCTCATCTCATCTCATCCTCATACTCGCATAGTCACAAATTCAGGCATAAGGCAAATGTGGGTAGGAATGACTGTCTGGGTTCAATCCTCCTTCCATGAGGGTGTGGATTTAGAAAGGTCCGCTTTATACCTGCTGAAAACAGCTGTTCACTGTGAGAACAGAGATCTGCTGAACGGTTTTGTAAGGATGGCGCCCCAGAGTCTTCATCTAGTGCAGGTCTGTTTAGATAGTCCTAACAAGATCAGGGCCAGGTCCTATCATGTTCTAGAGAAGATACGAGCTTGAAAGTTTCCTTGTCACTGCCCAGCAAACCTGTCCAGCAACTTTCCCATTTTACAATTTTCTTCTTTGTCCACTAGATGGTGTAAATGACTTCTCGTCACTGAAGTCCTGGCAGGAGAGTTCTCTAACTGGACTGCAATGCTGAGGGGAAATGCTTTCCCTTTTAATAACTCTGCTCCTTAAAATCATTTTTAAAAAGAACTTGCTTCATTTTATAAATACCTGTGGTACAGAGGTTAAAGATCCCTTCAATTAAGAATATTAGTGGGAGGGACTAGTCCTTAGACATCATGCTTGGTAGGTCAACAGAAAAAACACCCTCAATGAACTGAACAGACACAGCAACTGTAATAGGCTCAATCACAGCAAAGACTGTGAGGTGACACAGGACCCAGTAGTGTTTTGTCCACAGAGTTTTGCACAGAGTTGCTGTAAGTCACAACTCTGATGGCACCTTAACAAAAATACTTTTAATGATGAGGCTTTATTTGAAGAGCCTGAGAGTGATGATAGGAATCCCATGATGTCCTTCTGCACAGTCTTCTGCTAAATTAAGGTTAACCATAAGTTGGCTCTTTTAGGATTTGTCATGAATTCTTCTGGGGAAGTCTCAGGGCAGGGCCCCACAGTTTTTAAGAGCAGTAACTGCAGAGACAAATTGCTTCCTCTGATGAAATAAAAGAATTCATGTTGGACGCTGGTATGATTTCCTCCATATCCTGAGAGTGCTACAGCCTTTCGTTATGTGCAAAACCAAAGCCAGCTATACTGGATTACGCCACAGGCAGTGCAGTATAGCATGTGGGGTCACTCCTATGGGGATCAAGTTGGAAGAATTATTTGGATTCCCAAAGGAACGGGAGAATGGGAATTACAGTAGAAGTGACTTGCAGACACAGTTAAAAAATGGCCATAATGCTGGGAAGAGGGCTCCTCAAGTGGGCAGGGAAATATTATTTTCTTCATGGGGAACCTGACCAGTTCAGAATGAAACACCAAAGACATGGCTGGAGGATCTTGTTTTACAAAGACTTTTAGCTTTATTAAATCTTTAGTGGTGCTGTTGTTAAAATGACAAGAAATGATATATTGTTTTCTTTCTTCTTCATCTTATTCCCTTTCACCTTCAAATCTATCCTTCTATAACCATAAATAGATAAGGCAAAGGTTAATAGCATCACCCACTTCCCTAGATAAACAGAACCATTTAATCAAATCTCCCTGGGCACTCACTCAGAAAGCAGGGGATGTCTCATTAACAAGCTCTCTCAGAAGTGCTGAGGTAATACTACTCAATTTAGAGGATGGACAACGAGAATTATTCCTCTGAAGGGAACCTGTACACAACACCACTGAACAATCTGAAAAGGCTTCCAACTGTTATTGTTATGTGCTATCAAGTCCCCTGCAACTCAGTGACCCTATGTACAACAGCCCTAAACTCTGCTCTATCCTATATCAATCTTATTGTCTCTGACACACCTACTCCCACCACTCCAGTGACTGAATCAATCCATCTCATCCAGGGTCTTCCTCTCTTGTGCTGTCCCTCCATCCTCCTCAAGCATGAAGTCCCTCTCCAAGGGATGGTCCTTTCTTGCAACATGCCCAAAGCATGTCAGACAAGGTTCAGAATTCTTGCCTCCAAGGAGCAGCCTGGTCTCCCTTTCTCTAGGACAAACCTGTTTGTTCTCCAAACAGTCTAAGAGAGTTCAATACTCTTCTCCAGCACCATAGCTCGAAGACATCAATTCTCCTTCTATCATCCCTAGTTATTGTCTAGCTTTCTGATGCATAGCAAGTAACTGCAAAGACTATGGCCTGGATCAGGCACAACTTAGTCTCCAGCCTGACATCACTGCTCTTCAGTACTCTGGAGAAGTCCCTAACAGCACGCTTTCCCAATAAAATTTGTTTCTTAATTTCCTGGCTGCTGGTACCAAGAGTGTTGACTGGGGAACAAAGCCAACTGAAGTTGTGAACAATCTCAATATCTTCATCATCTATCATAATGCTGCCAACTAGCCCATTGGTGAGAATCTTTGTTTTCTTGATGTTGAGCTTCAGCAGCAAGCACTTCAGGTCCTCCTCAGTTTCATCCAGCAGCGTTTGCCATCTGCATAACACAGATTGTGGATGAGTCTTCCTTTAATCCTGATGCCACATTTCTCTTCATAGGGTCAATCATCTCCGATGATCTGTTTTGCATATAGATTGAAAAGGTATGGAGCTAGGACACATCCCTGGTGTACCTCCTTCCTGATTTTGAAACATGTAGTGTCTCCTTTCTCTGTTCTGATGACTGCCCCCTGGTCCAAGTGTAGGTTTCGCATAAGCACAATCAAGTGTTCTGGGATTCCCATTCTTCTCAGAATCAGCCACAGTTTGTTGTGATCCAGTCAAATGCCTTTGCATAGTCAATAAAACACAGATAGGCTTCCAACTACATTTGCACTTAAGAGTTCTGTGAAAGAAGCATAGTTATTTCCATTTTTCCATGGGAGAAATTGAAGTACAAGTAGGGAAGTGACTTTCCCAATGTTCCATCATTGGTAGGTGGGGGGGAAAAAATTAATTCTAGATCTAAGTCTCTTGACTTTCTTTCCATTCAACCAGACTCTATCTCACAGGACCTTGCACCTATAGACAAGTAGCATGCATTTTAAAATTGAAAGCCTTAAATTCAATTAAGCTAGTTTTGTTCACAATATAAAAGAATGTAAGTACTCCCGATATACTGAAATAAAGAATACTGAACACAGACCTTAGTTATACTTTATAAGTAACAAATTTTATCTGTGCCTAAACTATATTATGACAATTAACTAGTACTAGAGGAATCTAAGACCATATGAAAAAGACACTTAGCTAGTTTCAAACCAACAAGAAATATAGGATGAAGTTTCAAATTCAAGAGCCTAGCTAGATGTTGGTGTTTGTGGTTTAGTGGGTAAGGAATTGTGCTTTTAACTCAAAAGGTTGAAAGTTCAAATCCACCAGCTTCTCCTTGAGAGAAAGATGAGAAATCTCTTCTTATGTGATTTATGGTCTCTGAAAACTCACGGGATACTCAGGTATGAGTTGGTTCTGATTGGTGACAATGGATTATTTTTGTTTTGAATATAGAAAGAAGGTTGGAATCAGGTTCAGGACAAGTCCACATTCTCAATCACACCATTTAAAA